GAGCACTCGGGGCCCATCACGAGCCTGGGGGGGGTTGGACACCATTCACCTGCCGGGGGCCCCCTGGAGAGGAGCCAAGAGGGAAGTGAAGCTCCCCAGGACACTCAGCTCAGCTGAGAGGTGGAGCTGATGCACAAGGTGAGAGCCAAGGGGATAGCAGAGCTTTAGCAGCAAGGTACCTGTCCCACTGCCAGCCCCAGGACCCGGCTTCTCTCCCAGCCCCACTGCGTCCCGTTTTCCACCTCTCTATCCAGGTAACGCAGCCCCTTTTGGCTGGCTTTGGGCTGAATCAGGCTGGCACAAGCAGGAGGCTTGAGGCTGCTTCCATGGTGGATTTTGGGACACCCATGGGAGAGCTCGGGCCCTTCGTCGCTCCCCGCACAACCTCCCTTTTCCTATCTCCTTTTCCTGCTCCCGCTGGTTCTGAAGTCAAACTCCTCTGCAGGCTCTCCTCACCCACCCATGTGTCCCTTTGGGTCTTTCCCCAGCACCTCCAGATGGGAGCGTTTCTGGGTTTTCCATGAGCGGTGACCTTGCTGGGATCAACCATTGCTCCTGGATCCGTAAATCCATCACGCAGGACAAAGGACCACGCGCGAGCTGCGCTGCCCCGCTGGATGTGCTCCAAGGGAAACCCCTCCCGGCGTGTTCCCAATGGACTCTTGTGTTTCCATGCGGAATGGCACCTGTGGCAACGCATTTACCAGCAAAGGGGAAATGCCGCAAGGACGGGAACCAGCGTAAGGAGAAGAGGGAGTCCCATCTCTAAGCTCATCACAAGAGAGATGCAGTGGATGAGAAGGGGAGAGAATGGGTGAGCTGGGAAGGGAATGGAGATGGAAAAGGAGCCAGGTGGGGCTGTGGGACTGCGGGAATGGGAGCTGGAAGGGGCTCCTCATCCTGGGCTGGGCTCCAGGCTTGGCTTGGGGGGGGTCCTACAGCTCTGTTTGCAGCTCCCCAAAGACCCCAGGAGCTTGAGGCTTGCCCTGGAGGTGGGCAAAGAGGAGGGAGCACAGGGAAACATGGACAGGGGGATTGAGGGCACCCTCAGTGAGCTCACCGATGACACTGAGCTGTGTGGTTCGGTTGATACCCTGGAGGGAAGGAATGCCATCCAGAGGGACCTCGACACGCTTGGGAGGTGGGCTGATGCCAACCTCATGAAGTTTAACCATGCCAAGTGCAAGGTCCTGCACCTGGGTGGGAGCAATCCCAGGCACAGCTACAGGTTGGGCAGAGAAGAGATTCAGAGCAGCCCAAGGAGAAGGACTTGGGGGTGTTGGTGGATGAGAAACTGAACATGAGCCGGCTTCAGTGTGCGCTCACAGCCCAGAAACCAACCGTGTCCTGGGCTGCATCCAAAGGAGCGTGACCAGCAGGTCATGGAGGGGATCCTGCCCCTCTGTTCTGCTCTGGTGAGACCTCACCTGGAGCATTGTGTGCAGTTCTGGGGTCCTCAACATAAAAAGGACATGGAACTGTTGGAACAAGTCCAGAGGAGGCCACAGGGATGATCAGGGACTGGAGCACCTCCTGTATGGAGCCAGGCTGAGAAAGTTGGGGCTGTTCAGCCTGGAGAAGAGAAGCTGCGTGGAGACCTCAGAGCAGCTTCCAGTATCTGAAGGGGGCTACAAGGATGCTGGGGAAGGACTCTTCATCAGGGACTGTAGTGACAGGACAAGGGGTAATGGGTTAAAACTTAAACAGGGGAAGTTTAGATTGGATCTAAGAACAAATTCTTTCCTGTGAGGGTGCTGAGGCACTGGAATGGGTTGCCCAGGGAGGTTGTGAATGCTCCATCCCTGGCAGTGCTCAAGGCCAGGTTGGACAGAGCCTTGGGTACCCTGGTTTAGTGTGAGGTGTCCCTGCCCATGGCAGGGGGTTGGGACTGGATGATCCCAAGGTCCTTTCCAACCCAAACTGTTCTATGGTTCTATGAAAAGCAACAGGACACCCGCCCTGGAAAGGTTCCAGCCCTTCAGACACCATCTCACCCCTTGGTGGGGTCTGCTTTGATCTAAGCAAGCCCTCATGGGCCATGGCCTTTGTGTCCAGAGGCAGAACGGATGCATGGGCCTGGCTGGTGCCCTCCCCACAGGGACAGCGTGGAGGCTGTGAAGGTGAGCTCATGCTCCGATGAGGCTGCTCCAGGAGTCGAAGCCCAGCCAAGGAAGTGCCAATAAACCAAGGAGGGCAGGAGGCAGGAGCCCAGCTTCACTCGGCTCCTTGGTACCATCGAGATGCTCAGAACCCACCCGAGCTCCAGTGTGGGAGGTGGGCACAGCCCTGGTCTGTGGTGGCTGCAGGAGGACAGGGCCCTGGGAGGGGTGAACCCCTCCACCAAAGCAAGCCCCGTTCTGTGCTCCTGCATCAGCCTCAGCACTGATCCTGCCCCACCTCTCCCCGAGGGCTCGTGGATAAGCGGCTCAGTCGGCATCTCCTCAGCCCCGCTGCCAGATCCCTTTGAGCTCCTTTAGTGCAGGACCTCGGCTCCTGGGCAGCCCAGCTCAGAGCTCCCCATGGCCCACACGTGGGGTGGGATGGGAGGGACCTCCGGGGCTCTTCCTTCCCCGCTACAGGGAGACCTGAGAGCAGCTCCAGTGCCTAAAGGGGCTGCAGGAAAGCTGGAGAGGCCAAGGGGAATGGCTTGAACCTGGCAGAGGGGAGACTGAGATGAGCTCTTAGGCAGAAGCTCTTCCCTGTGAGGGTGCTGAGGCGCTGGCACAGGGTGCCCAGAGAAGCTGTGGCTGCCCCATCCCTGGCAGTGTTCAAGGCCAGGTTGGACACAGGGGCTTGGAAGGTGGAAGGGGTCCCTGCCCGTGGCCGGGGTTGGAGCTGGGTGAGCTTTAAGGTCCCTTCCAGCCCAAACCAGGCTGGGATCCCCTGAAATCACCCCGAAGACACCCAGCACTGGTGCTTTGATCCAACCCCTCATGTAGGAGCGCTCAACCCAACAACGCGGTGTGCGGATGAAATAATTCCCATTGGAACTCCCCATTTCCACCTTTTCTTCCTCCCCCAAGCACCCCCCTTGTTCCAGCCCATCGTCTGCTCTCAGTGTGGGGCTGGATGGGTGCAGGAAGGTGCAATCCCCCCTTTCAGTCTCCCAGCGGAGCCGGGGCTGCGCTGGGATCCTCCTCAGAGCCTCCCTGTGGGGGAAAAGGGGAAACACAACAGGAAGGATCCCAACGCAGCCCTGCACAAGCAGCTTAAGCTCTATTCTGAGGAGGAAGAACCCGGCTCCCGTCCTGAGCCGCTCAAGAGGAACGGGGCCGCAGACCAGAACCGCTGCAAATCCGCTCTGGGCTGGAGGCTGGCGGGGCTCCATCCGGCCCCGGGCTCTGTCGGTCACACAAGGGCGGGTTGAGCACACAAAGAGCCCTGGGCTTGCCCAAACGATGGTGTTTTGTGCACAAAGAGGAACCAAGCCGCACTGCTGGGGCCAGGTTTGAAAGGGGCCCGCGTTCAGAGCACCAACACTGTGAGCAGAGGTGAAAACTCGCTGCTTTTTTTTGGTTTTAAACCCATTTATTGACTTCAACACACAGGAAACCAGAAGAAAAAACTACAAAGAAACAGAAAACTTGAGATCCTTCAAAGCAAAGTGCAGCAGAAAACAACCTCTTTGCTCATTCAAACCCTCGAAGGAGCAACGGTGGCCCAAAACAGAGGTACCGAGAGGCCCCATCCACCCACTGAGCCAGGAGCCCCTGGGAATGGGGACAGGAGATCCAGGGAGAACCCCCTTGGTCTAGCCTGGCCTGAGCTGTGCCTCCTGCCGGCACTGAGCAAACCAAGGTCCTCATCCAGCTCATGCACGAGCTCCTCGTGCTTGGTCCCAGCTGGGCTCGAGGTGTTGGGGTCCGATGGTTCCCAAGAGCTCACTGCTCCCTTTGCTGACAGCAGTGGGGCTCCCAACACCCCCTGGGCTGGAGAGAGCACTGGGACAGCTCCCGGGATGGAGAAGCAAACAGCTTTAAAGAGAACGAACCCCTCTGTCAATCCGTTCTCCATCAAACCCAAGAAGGCAAAGCAGGAACACGGCACGCGGGAGCAGCTCGGCAGCGCCCGGCATTGCACGTGTGGAGCCATCACCTCCCACCCCACACCCCGTCCATAAGCCAGCCGCACACCACTGGAGCCCCAGGCTTATCCCATGGGATCTCGGACCAGTGGAGCCTTGCTGCAGGAGCCCCCCCGAGGTCCGCTCCCCCCGGGGGACGTTCCTAACCTTGTTCTCCTTTCCCTTCCCTCCCAGTCTCCAAAACAGCTTCTGCAAGCACGAGCTGGGCAGGCACTTCATGGCCTCCGGGGGAACATCACACAGACATCTTTGGAGTAGAAGTGCAAGAAGAAGCCGACACCTCAGAGCTGTAACCCCTTGATGAACGCATCTGGCAGCTCTAAACCACCCCAGGATGCCCCCACCCTGGTTTAAGTGCACCAAAGGGACCGGCCGCTGGTTTCATTACATTCAAGCCCTCAAAACCAGGGCCAGCAGAGGCGAGGATGTGCTGGTGACACCAGGAGCCCTTCACGTGTTGGTCACCGGCTCGAGGAGGTGACCTCAGGGGGAGGAAGTCCTGTGGTGATGCAGGCACAGGCGGTGGTGCCTGTGCTGTGGTTTCCCAAGGCAAGAGGCTCTGCCAAGGCTTGTGCAAGCAGCTCAGCCGGGTGAGAGGGCACTAGAGCAGGAGCCAGCACCGAGGGCCCGGTAGCAGCGAGCTCCATGGTGGGGAGGCTCCTTCAGCTTCCTTCTGGGGCCTCCATGCTGCACTTCCAAGGAAGAGGTTTGAAGGGTGCGAGTTCCGTTCATCCCAGTGCTTCGGGGTTACCACACACTCTACATCGCGGTGGAATGATGCCGACAAGGGGGTGGGAAGCCACCTTCCAGGCGAGGTCTGCTACAACCACACCGTGCCAAGCTGGCACAGAGCTTCCTCAGCCTCAGCTGTCCTCCTGCATAGCACTGGATGGCAGCTGCCACCTTCAAACAGTGCAAACAGCTCTGGGGGGGGGAGAGAGGGAGGAGACAAGCAGGGAGCAGGGAAGGAAAGAACCCCACGGGGAACAGAAGATGCAGGCGAGGAAGTTTAAGCTACAACCCAAGGGTCAAAGATGTGCAGGAAGAGAGAATCTGGATGTTAAACCCCAACATTGTCTTCATCACCCAGAGAGGGAAATAAATCACATCGGATCAGAGGCCTCAGGGGATCACTTCCAAACCAGTGCAGTTGGTCACACGCTGCAGTGGAGCATCCAAAGACAGCGGACAGAAGAGGAGCACGCGTGTGCCTCGAGGTGCTGGGTACGACCAGAGCTCTCGGGCTCTGGAAGGGGAGGGTCCGACGGCTCATTTCGCAGGCAGATAGATAGATATATCTCTCTCTATATATAATTTCTTTCCCCCAAGAGGAGACATCAGTACAGTAGTTGGCAAATTCCATTTCATTTGGCCACAGAGGCTCTGTCAAGTGCTGGGCGCTGGCTACAAGCCAGAGTTTCATCTTCAGGCAGGTGGAAAAGGAGGAACGTGTTATGAGGAAGTGAAGGGTTTAACGTTACCAAGGTGCAGGTGCAAAGCTAAAAGCACTTCCCCTTCTTCTTCCTGCTGTCTGGAACCTGACCATGGTGCGCAGCTGCAGCGGGGGAGGCGGTGGTGTCCTGGGCTTCCTGCACTTTCAATGCCATCCATCGCTACGCTGAGCATCCAAGGAGGAAGCTAGATCTGGAAAGGCAAAAAGCAAGGTGACGGCTCAGCATGGCTCTTCTGCTCTGAGAAAGCAGCGGGCTTTGAGCGGGCTGCATGGCTCCAATGAGCTCTTCCTAACTGCCTGGCTGCTTCGCTGTGCCCCAGGGACGAGTCGGGGAATTCCTGGCAAGGGAAGCAAGCTCCTGAAATCCTGCTGAGGTTAAATAGGGAAAGTGAAGCAGGAAAACCAGCCCCGTGGCACTTGGGTGGCTTCCGAGCCAGGTGTGGCTGCACTTTGGGAAGGGAGAGCGCTGCTCCCAAGGGCAACACTGAAACCGAGCTGGGCACTGCTGGAGTGCAATCCCTAATCCCGTTTGGAAGTGTCCATTGTCACGGCCCCCCACATGGCAACAGCCTTCCCAAAGCCTGAGCTTCAGCTTCGGGTGACTTTCTGCTTCCTTCCCGTGTCTCCTCCTCTTCCTACTGCAGAAAATAACTGCAGACACTTCCAGCTTCAGGGACAACCGGGGAGAAAAGGTTCAAGGGGGAAAAAAGTCCCCAAATCCTGCCCTTTTCCTGCTAAAATCCTCTTGGGAAAAAGCCATTTGAGCCCGTGACCCAGCAGAGCCGAGCTCAGGACTCCCAAACCTCCACCCTGTGTTAGCTCGGCCACCATTTCTCAGCACTTCCACTTCCCTGTTTCTACACCAAAAGCGGGGATTTTCCTTAAGAATCCAGCTTTCCAGCCCCAACCCCGTGTGGGTTCGGGCCCATTCCCAGGGCAAGAGGCCAAGGTACCGTGTTCACCACCCAGACCAGCCCCAGAACCTGCCCAGCTCCGCTTTTGGGCACATTTTACCTTCTGATCCAGTCTCTGATAGTCGCCAGATTTGGGTCGTCGACCGCTTTTGGATCTCTTTCCTTCCAGAGCAAAAGCAATGATCTTTGGGGAGAGAACGGGGGGCAAGGTGAGTGGGACAACAGCGACCAAATCAGCTTTTCCTCCCTTCAAACACGGGTGCTTTCTAATGCTTGTTCCAAAGCACTTGCAGCAACTGCACGCCACTACTAAAGCCAGCACAGATGGGAAGCAGGCGGTACCTGAGGTCCGCCTCACGCACAGCAAACAAGAGTTTGTTTTCTGTCTCCTGCCCCTAAAATAGCTTTACAGGAGGAAAAAAAAAAACCCAGCAGCAAAGTTACATCCCTTGAGCTGTGTGAAGACCATTTAAGGACAAAGCTTCTGCAACCTGCTCCAGAGAGCTCCCTGGCAGCAGGAAAACACGGGGTAACATCACTCATCTCCTCCTTTTCACCTCTCTCAGCTGAAAATAACCACCAGAGCTGAGGCCACCTGATTCCCACAGCGATCCAACCCTTTTCCCAGCTCCAGCACCCTCCCCGCTCCTCCCAAAGCTCTTGGGTCAAGGCTTAATAGTAAATTGACAATAGTATTAGCATTCTTATATCAAAGCAATGCCTCTCACCTTGCGCTTGTTGTGATACGCTACGTACAAGGCAGCGACGATAATCGCAGTGGTCACCAGGTAGGCGAAGAAGTGGCTGCTCTCCGACTGGTCCCTGGGAGAAGGAAGGCTCTTCCCTCTCTCCCTAGCAAAGGAGGAGGCATCGCTGCTCCCTTTAGCCCCTTCCTCTTCCTCCCTGGGGGTTTCTTCATTCTCTAAGAAGCTGTCGTCCTCACCAGCAGAGGAAGCTGGTTGTGGTGGCACGTTTTTATCCCTCGGTGAGCCCCCATCATTGCCCTGGCTCCCGGTGTCGCTCTCCTGGTTCCCATCGTTACTCTCCTGGTTCCCATCGTCACTCTCCTGGCTGTTTTCCTGCTTCTTGTCATCATTTTCCTTGTCCTCGGTGTTGGTGTCTTGGCTGTTGGCCTGGCTCCCACCGTTACCATCTTGGTTGCTGGCCTGGCTCTCATCCTCAGCTTTCTCCTTCTCAGTTTCCTCGTTGTTGGCCTGGTTCTTAGCCTCAGCTTTCTCCTTCTCAGTCTCTTTCTTGTTGGCGTGGCTCTTGCCAGTCTCGCTACCCTCGCTGCTGCCCTGTTTCTCGCTGCTGGTCTCCCCGTTCTTGCTCCCACCCTCAGCATCGCTCCCCTGGCTCTTGGTGTCCGTGTTCTGGCCAGTGACCTGACCCCCGCTGTTACTGTCGGTGGGCTTGCTCTCGTTGTCAGTGCCGGTGCTGTGGTTCTTGCCTGGGTTATCAGCGCTGTCAGCACCACCGGGACTGCCGTTACTGCTGGGGGTGTTGCTCTGCTCCTCACCTGTGCTGCTGGTCTGGGTGTTGGTCCCGTTCTCGTCGTTACCGCTGGGGCCGGTGCTCTGGTTTGTACCGCCACTGCTGCCACTCTGGGTGCTGTTGGCCTTGTTGTCCGTGCCGCCGGTGCCCTGGTTCTGGCCATCGCCACCCGCTTGTGTGCTGCCCTGGGTACCTGTGCTGCCGCTTAGGCCATTCTGGCCATCCCCATTCTGCTTCTCCGCCCCGTTACCAGCGCCAGCCGCAGCCTGCGGGACCCCCTCTGCCACCTCCCCACCGCTCCTGCCCTGCTTGTCCTCGCCTGGCATCCGAGCCGACCCGGAGCGCTGCCCTCCGCTCCCGTTGGCTCCATCCGCAGGCTCCTCGAGGACGCCGCTCCCTCCGGGCTGGGCCGCTCCGCCGGTGCCCGCAGCAGCTCCGCTACGCTCGGCTGCGGAACACAGAGCTCAGTCACCCGCGGCCCCGCAGCTCCCGCTCCCGGTCCCCATCCCGGTCCCGTTCCAGGTCCCGGTCCCGGTCCCGATCCCGGTCCCGATCGCGATCCCGATCCCGGTCCCGATCCAGGTCCCGCTCCCGATCCCGCTCCCGGTCCCGATCCAGGTCCCGCTCCCGCTCCCTCTCCCGATCCCGATCCCGATCCCGATCCCGGTCCCGGTCCCGGTCCCGATCCCGATCCCGGTCCCGGTCCCGGTCCCGGTCCCGGTCCCCCCATCCCCGCTCACCGTCCAGGCGGAGCAGCAGGAGCAGCAGGAGCAGCCGCCGCACCATGGCGGCCCCGCACGCACCGCGTCCGCTTCCGCTTCCGCCCCGAGATGTCGCGACAGAGGAGGGGCGCGGCGACAGCGGGAGGGGCTTGAGGAGTCCGGGGCGGAGCGGATGCGGTGTGGGCGTGGCTTATGGAGATTGAGAGGCGTGGCTTATTTCGACCGACGGGCGGGGCTTGCTGCGTAACGGGCGTGGTCTATGTAAATTAGGGGCGGGGCTTAGCGCCGAGGGCGCTGTGCCCGTGAGGACCGCTCACCCTGGAGCCTGCCTTACCCAGCCCGTGTCCATCTCTCCCTATGGGATGTCCCTGCTCCCTTCCGGGCTCCCTCCGCACCTGCACCCAGGGCTCCTCCACCTCGGTCAGCAGAGCGGCCATGAGGATGTCATCACCCTCCGCTGGCAATCCCGCTCCTCTCCAGCCTCCGGCTCTGCTCCGGGGATGGGAACCAGCCTGGACTTGACGCACACGAAACGAAGGAAGCTCCCCACATCCACCCGTCATCCTCCTGCCACGGTCTGAGCTCCTCACGTGGATTTGATGTCCTCGGGTCCGTTCCTTCGCCGTATCCCTCTTGCTGTATCCCTTTCCGAGCAGATGTCGGCTGAGCCGTGGCTTTTGTGGGATCCCGGTTAACCAAAGATCTCCACATGTTCCTCTTGGGTTTTCTCCCTGCCCATCACTGCTGCCTGGTGACCCCACACAGGTCTGGGTCCCTCTCTTTAGGGACTTTGGCATGGGGGCACATCATCCATACCCCCCTGCCTGTCCTTCCCAAAGCCAGAGCTTTGGTATCAGTTTTCCAGGTGCAGGAATCCCACCATCAAGTCCCTGTAATTTGCCTTATGAGTATCAATCCCCATTTGTCCTCACTCCTTTCAGATCAATGGATTTGCTTTCCTCTCCACCCAGGATGAACTTCCTTGGTGCTCAACCACTCCAGAGCATGCTGTCACCAGAGCTGTATCTCATCCCTAACACGACATCCTGCTGAAGGACACGCACCCAAGTCTTTAGAAGGAACCACAAGAACGTCCCAGATCCTTCAGCCGCTCCATTTAACACTAAAACCTGGAAAAACATCCCACCACCATTCACCATGCAACCAAATGAGTCCTGTGCAGCGATAATACCGTGGGGAATAATCCTGACTTGGCCTCAGAGCACAATGGATTATGTGCTCGATTTTTCCTTCTTTGCCCCCCCTCCAACCTCCATTCAATTCAACCCATTCCAACGTTCCCAGCAGCTCGGTTCTGCCCATTCCTGCCCTTCCAAGGAGACACAAGAGCAGTTGGCCCAGTGCTTTTGCTGACATTTAAAGCAGACAAGCGGGGCCGTTTCTCATGCCCAGCCACTTCAGCTTTCACTCACACCCTGGAAGTCAAGAGCAACGGAACAGAGGCCAAGTTCCTCTGGATTTACAACAATGCATCTGGGAATGGGATCCTGCCCAAGATACCAAGTCCCAGGCTGACATCAGCTGAGCGCCGGTGCCTCGCTCCGGGCTCCTTTGCCTTCAGCACTTTTCTTGGCTAAAATGGGATAAACAGGAGCAGTGACCTCCCCTGGCCTCCGGGGCTGCCCCCTCCCCGCGCAGCCGGGAAACGGGAAGCTGCATCAATGTGGACAACAAGGAAATTCCTTCTGGCTTCAGCACGGCCACACGGATGTGGGCTGGAGGGAGGGAAAGGAGGAGGATTGGGGATTATTCTGTCTGCAAAGCAGAAGGAGGAAATTCCCTCTCAGTCTCACCCAGGTGATGGCAGCTGCTGGTCCTTTATCACCTTTAACCCAACCCCGTTCCATTCCAACTCCAGCCAGATCCGCTTGGTTTCCTCATCTCTTCCCATAAATCTCTGTGGGATGTTGCTTTTTGGGGATGACTCTTTCTGCGAACGGCCCCTATGACCAAGACCAGGGTGTACACCCAAATCTGGACGAGAACTGAACCGACTGAGGCACTTCAATGCTTGGAGCTAATAAAGTCCTCACCTTGTCAGAAGCGCCTGCATCCCCCATCCCAACCCTTTCCCCCGGAGGGCTAATCTGGTCAGGAGAAAGGATCAAAAGGAGAAACAATTAGCAAATGGAACAATTTAATGATGCTAATTAAAATGTATTAAGTGTAGCCAGTGCCTCTGCACCAGCTGCTATGGCAGGAGCCTGGAGCCCACGGAGCGCCCAGTGCGGGGCCGGGAAACGGGACATCTGCTGCATCCCCCCCCTCCCCGGGCTTGAGGAACGCTCCGTCTCATTGCTGCCGCTCGCAGGGTTCACCGTGGAGCCTCTAATTAGCTCCATCTCTGCAGGAGACCCCTGGGACCTCATTAGGCATTTCAATTAGTGAATAGCCAGAGCTGGGGGGGAGCGGGGCTGGGGGCTGCTTGATGGAGATGCTGTAATTAAGCAAGAGGATGGAGGTGACAGGAGTAACCCTGCTTCCAAGCAGCGGCAGGGAAAGCACCAGCTCTACCACAGGTTTGCTCCTGACAAGCTTTGAACCAGGTCCCGGCCATAAGACCCCGGTGATGGGCGCAGGAGGCTGGGCTCTGCATGGAAGCAGCATCCTGCAATCCAGGGTTTAAACCTTTCCTCATTGCAGGAAAGGCTCATGGAGGAATAGCTGCCAGTGCTCAAGGCCAGGTTGGGCACAGGGGCTTGGAGCAAGCTGCTCCAGTGGAAGGGGTCCCTGCCCGTGGCAGGGGTTGGAGCTGGATGAGCTTTAGGGTCCCTCCAACCTGGCCTTGAACACCACCAGGGATGGGGCAGCCACAGCTTCTCTGGGCACCCTGTGCCAGCGCCTCAGCACCCTCACAGGGAAGAGCTTCTGCCCAAGTTTTCCTCATTTCATTCCCACCCCGACCTTTTCCCCTTTGTTGGATGTGATGGTGGGGAGCCCTGTGAAGAAAAGTCACCTCCAAGGCAGGAGCAGGAGTTGTGCAGTGGCTTTCTATTGGGAACCTGTCTAAATGCAACACTTCCATAAAGCATGAAGGGTATGCAGGTACCACCATCAGCCTGGGTCAGCTAGGAGAGCCTCAACATGTCCTCTTGAGATGGAGCACCTTGGAACCGGCCTTGTCCTCCAGGAGAAGCCAAGAGGGCTTTGGTGCCCAGTTGCATCTCTTCTAGCAGGGGATAATCCAAGCCTATCCCAGTTTGGGAGCACCGCGAAGGCATCGGAACAGATGTTCCTTTTCTGTATGGGAAAAGGCAGAGCAAAACAAAGGAATATTCTCCTGCTGAAGTCCAACATCTGTTGGAAGCTGTCTGGCTCCGGTTCAGCCTCTAATTCTTGTGACAGGTCTCTTCATGCCTTTAATTTCCCATGAAATCTAATTCAAGCAGTTGTTTGCCTGCAGCCTGCTCCCGGTGTTGGGCACGGCGGGGCCGCATGCGCTCCAGGCGTTCCTCGCAGGAAACCGGCTCCTTGGCACGGCCTCTCTGAAGGCAGCAGCGTTTTGCCTCTTCCAGCCCACGGGCACACGTGGTTCCAGGGGCTCTCTAATCCTCTGGAGCCTGGATCTCGCACCACGTGCCATCAGGATGCCATTAATGCAAGCTGCGTGCCTGGTCCTCTTGGGTGCTGGGGTGGAGGCACCGTGCCATGCCCCCGTGCTTCAGATCTGTCCTTTGAAAGCAAGAGCTTCAAACCATCTCCTGTGTGGAGTGGAAACCTCCAGCAAGGTCAGGGCTCTCTGGGCTGCAGCAGGGACTAAAGATGCTCCAGGCACTTTCTCATGCTCTGGGCTCCATCCGATGGGGTTCCAGATGCCGGCGTCACCCCATGGCACACGCTCGTCTCACGCAACATCTGGTAACGCGGACAGCATCCTCCTCGAGGACAAGACACCGAGATGGTCCCTTTTCCCCTCTACCTCCATACGGACATCTGCTGCCGCTAAAAGCACTTCCCTGGTGGCTCCTCGAGCAGCTCAGCACTGGAAAGAAAAATGTCACATATGCCATTAATGAGCAAAAGCACCCCCCAAACTGAGAGCCGAGCGGGAAGGGCTCAGCCCATCACCCAGGGAGGGTCTGGGTGCTGCTCGGACACCCTGGTCCCCCCCATGCAGCACTGGGCCAGGGGGAGAGGAGCCAGGCTGGGTCCTGGGCAGTGGAAACCAAGAGGCTCAGGAAAGGGAATGAACCAGGACTATAAACAGCACAAACCACCCCTGGGCAGGAGCAGCTCGGGGTTAAACCTGCGACAGAAAACACGGTTGTGATTTTCAGTGGGACACTTGGAAACAGAGATTTTCCTGTTAAAAAATACAGCACAGGAGGAGTCTTGATGAGCTCAAGTGTTAAACTGACCAAGAACTTCCGATTGGTTGAAAATCCACGGGGTGCCCCTGGCTGGCTTCAGTGCAGGTCCTTTGTCATCCTCATGTGGCATCCCTGGGCTGGAAGCAGCAGGCACAGGGCACCCTGCAGCTCCTGGCTGAGACAACTCCCGATCCTCCGCTCCTCAGGCCCCCCAGCACCTGCTTTACCCAAACCCCATATCCTGCTGCCCGTGTCTCCCCGATGGACACCCCTAAAGCACCCTGTGCCCATCGAGGGAGGCACCTGGGGCTGGACCAGAGCCCCAGCCTGATGCTTCCCAGGATGCGGTGGCACCGGAGCGCTGTGGAGGAGGCAGTGATGGGCAGGGAGCGCTCCCTGCACTGACCACGCTCACGCAGCGAGTTACAGCTGAGGTTTTATTTCCTTTAGTGAAAAATAACAGGGTTTCATGGGGAGAAAACGCCCCCAGCCAGGGCTCAGCCCCGGATCCTGCCCCCCGGTACGGCCGCAGCACGGAGCATCCCCAGGGCAGGATCCAGCTCCTCGCTGGGATGGAGCAAAGCCATCGCTGTGGCCGGGAGCAGAGCCACAGGACAGGAGGGGTTTGGAGCACCAGGAGGCAGCGGGTCTGTCGCTGGTGTTTCTCCTCTTGCCTCCGGGATGGATGCAATGCCCGCTGCATTCCGTGCTGGACTGCCCATGGCATTGGGAGCACTCGCTTCATGCCCGCAGGCGCCTCGCAGGATGTTTCCATCATCGGCAGCTTACGGAGGGGCTATTTTCTTCTTTTTTTTTTGCCTTTTTTTTCCTTTTTTTTATTAATAAAAACGGTCTTTACGTGTGAGCAGAAAGCCCCTTCCTCCAGAGTCTGCTTACAAAAGAGTTCAGAGAGGGTCAAATATTGACCAATAATGGTTTTGGCTGCGTTTGAATCTTGATTGTGGCTTCTGCAATGTACAGCAGGGAGGGGACGGACGGGCCGGGGCCGAGAAGGGGGACAAGGTTTTCCCTTAGTCAGCAGGTTTGGTGACCAGGGAGAGGGGCTGCGTCTGCAGCACGGCCAGAGCAGCCGGCGGGGACGGGATGGTGGCCGCGAAGGATGGAGGCGAGGACAGGAGAGCCGCGGAGGGCACCGAGGTGAAGGGGATGGGTCTGGAGAGGAGCGAGGGCGGGCTGCCGAGGCTCGAGGAGGAGGAGGAGGAGGAGGAGGAGGAAGAGGAGGAGGAAGAGGCGGCTTTGCCCGAGAGGAAGCTGGCGGAATGCACGCTGAGCCTGGCCTCCGGCTTGGTGGTGAGCGACAGGGGCTGCGCCTGCTCCGAGTGCGTGGCTGCCGGCGCGGCCGGGGACGCCAGCGCTGCCGACGGCGTGGCGGGCGAGTCCAGCATGCTGCCGTGCGACGAGGCGGGGCTGGCGCAGGGCTTCTCGGCCGGCAGGTACTGCACGCACGGCTTCTTGCCCTTGGACACCAGGGAGCCTGGAACGGGGCGGGATGGGGTGAGCGGGTGCAGCCCCGCAGGGGGAAAGGGACCGGGACGGGGGATACTGACTGTCCGTGTCGTGGCTCTGCTGCTGCTGCTGCTGCTGCTGCGCCAGCTTCTCCCGCTTCCTCTTCTTCTTCTTGCCCTGGGAAGGGTTATAAAGTCCTCAGGTGGTTTGTGCCACCGCAGAGGCCTTGGGGGTGCCCCTGATAGGGATTTATCTGCAGGGATTCAGCACCAGCGCCTCAGGTTGCTCCATGAGCAGAGCAACGAGACAAACACCCAGTGAGGGGACAGGAGGGGACACCCCATCCCAGACAGACACCTCATCCCAGATGGACACCCCATCCCAGATGGACACCTCATCCCAGATGGACACCTCACCCCATCCCAGACGGACACCTCATCCCAGATGGACACCCCATCCCAGATGGACACCTCATCCCAGATGGACACCTCACCCCATCCCAGACGGACACCTCATCCCAGATGGACACCCCATCCCAGACGGACACCTCATCCCAGATGGACACCCCATCCCAGACAGACACCTCATCCCAGATGGACACCCCATCCCAGATGGACACCTCATCCCAGATGGACACCTCACCCCATCCCAGACGGACACCTCATCCCAGATGGACACCCCATCCCAGACGGACACCTCATCCCATACCAGACGGACACCTCATCCCAGATGGACACCTCATCCCAGACGGACACCTCATCCCAGATGGACACCTCATCCCAGACGGACACCTCATCCCAGATGGACACCCCATCCCAGATGGACACCCCATCCCAGACGGACACCTCATCCCATCCCAGACGGACACCTCATCCCAGACGGACACCTCATCCCAGACGGACACCTCATCCCAGATGGACACCCCATCCCAGATGGACACCCCATCCCAGACGGACACCTCAACCCATCCCAGACGGACACCTCATCCCAGACGGACACCTCATCCCAGATGGACACCTCATCCCAGACGGACACCTCATCCCAGATGGACACCCCATCCCAGATGGACACCTCACCCCATCCCAGACGGACACCTCATCCCAGATGGACACCCCATCCCAGATGGACACCTCACCCCATCCCAGATGGACATCCCATCCCAGATGGACACCTCACCCCATCCCAGATGGACACCTCATCCCACCCCAGATGGACACCCCATCCCAGACGGACACCTCACCCCTTCCCAGATGGACACCTCATCCCAGATGGACACCTCATCCCAGACAGAGACCCCATCCCAGATGGACACCTCACCCCATCCCAGATGGACACCTCACCTCATCCCAGATGGACACCTCACCCCACCCCAGATGGACACCCCATCCCAGATGGACACCTCACCCCTTCCCAGATGGACACCTCATCCCAGATGGACACCCCATCCCAGATGGACACCTCATCCCATCCCAGATGGACACCCCATCCCAGATGGACACCTCATCCCAGACAGAGAACCCATCCCAGACGGACACCTCATCCCATCCCAGACAGACACCCCATCCCAGATGGACACCTCATCCCATCCCAGATGGACACCCCATCCCAGATGGACACCTCACCCCACCCCAGATGGACACCTCATCCCAGATGGACACCCCATCCCAGATGGACACCTCATCCCATCCCAGATGGACACCTCATCCCAGATGGACACCCCATCCCAGATGGACACCTCATCCCAGATGGACACCTCACCCCTTCCCAGATGGACACCTCATCCCAGATGGACACCCCATCCCAGATGGACACCTCATCCCAGACAGAGAACCCATCCCAGACGGACACCTCATCCCATCCCAGATGGACACCTCATCCCATCCCAGATGGACACCTCATCCCATCCCAGACGGACACCTCACCCCATCCCAGACGGACACCTCATCCCAGATGGACACCTCACCCCAGATGGACACCCCATCCCAGACGGACACCTCACCCCATCCCAGACGGACACCTCATCCCATCCCAGATGGACACCCCATCCCAGATGGACACCTCACCCCATCCCAGATGGACACCCCATCCCAGATGGACACCTCACCCCATCCCAGATGGACACCTCATCCCATCCCAGACGGACACCTCATCCCAGACGGACACCTCACCCCATCCCAGATGGACACCTCATCCCATCCCAGATGGACACCCCATCCCAGATGGACACCTCACCCCATCCCAGATGGACACCCCATCCCAGATGGACACCTCACCCCATCCCAGATGGACACCTCACCCCATCCCAGATGGACACCTCATCCCATCCCAGATGGACACCTCACCCCATCCCAGATGGACACCCCATCCCAGATGGACACCTCACCCCATCCCAGATGGACACCTCATCCCATCCCAGACGGACACCTCATCCCAGACGGACACCTCATCCCATCCCAGACGGACACCTCATCCCATCCCAGAGACCCCATCCCCGCCGGTCCCACATCCCCATCCCTTACGTAGTTGTCCCGCGCTGACCACGTCGGGTAGAGCTGCGAGTGGAGCTGCCGCTCTTTCCGTGCCAGCTCGTAGTACTTCGCCTGCTCCTCCCGCGACAGCGAGTGCCACTGCAGGGGGAGAAGAGACCACGCTGCAGCCCTCGGGACACGCTGCCCTGCGGCTGCAGAGCTCCCATCCCATTGCCACCTTGGAATGGCTTTAATAGATAGAGGGGAGACTGAGCTGAGCTCTTAGGCAGAAGCTCTTCCCTGTGAGGGTGCTGAGGCGCTGGCACAGGGTGCCCAGAGAAGCTGTGGCTGCCCCATCCCTGGCAGTGCTCAAGGCCAGGTTGGACACAGGGGCTTGGAGCAAGCTGCTCCAGTGGAAGGGGTCCCTGCCCGTGGCAGGGGTTGGAGCTGGAGGAGCTTTAAGGTCCCTTCCAACCCAAACCAATGCCAAGGGAAATGCCCGTACCCGTCTGCCCAGGATCTGGTTGATGGCAGCGCTCTCCTTCAGCGTGCACTCGGCCACCACCTTGGCCCTCATCTCCTTCATGTACAACATGAAGGCATTCAGCGGCTTCTTGATGTGGGGCTTCTTCTCCTCCTCCTTCTTCACAGTCACGGGGGATTTCCTGCAACGAGGAGGGGTCAGGACCCCCTCTGCCCCACACAGGGGACGAGCCCCTGTCCCCGGGGCTGCTCTGCCCCACACTCACGTGTTGCCTCCAGGGCTGACGCTAGGCTGGGTGGGTTCCTGCTTCACGATGGGCGAGACGATGGTGGGGTGCGGGATGCCCGAGGGGTGCAGCCCATGGGTCGGGGGGGGGACCATGTGTGGGGAGAAGCGGCTGGACATCAAACTGCAGCAGAGGGAGCAGGAGAAGAGGGCTCGTCAGCTCCCCACCGGCACCAACAGCCCCGGTTCCACCCCAAACCCTCCTGAGAACCTCCTCGGTTAAGAGACCACCAGCTCCACGGTGTAACATGGACCCAAGTGATGCTCTGAGCCCATGGGCTGGCGCTTTCCCCCTACCCCTGGGGACCATCCTCAGCCTTCTGGGGGTATTTTTGGCCAAGGAGGCCACCACAACCTCCTGGGACTGGGTTGTGCCCGTGCGGAGCAGGGTCTCCCACTGTGGAATGAGTCCCACATCCTCAGGGAAGCAGCTAAAATCCCGCTGCAAGCTCTGGGATGCCCAAGGAGGGTCCCTCATCCCTGCAGAGACAAACCTGGACATGGAGGCGTTCATGGCGAGGGCAGGGTAGGGGTGCCGGAAGCCGCCAGGAGGGATGGAGTACACGGGCTGCCCTTGCCTGCAAACACACCAGCTTCAGTGGAGAAATCAGCCCCTTGGACCCATCTCCAACTCCCCATCTCCTCCCTTCCCACCCGCCCCATCAGCATCCCACTGCGTGGATAATGGGATGAAGCGGGAAGAGGAGAAGGGGCTCACGGGACACGGCCCTTCCTTACTGCGGCACGAGCCAGCCCAGCGGGTGCGGGATCTGGCCCACGGCTCCCGGTGACAGCGGGTAATAGGGGGGCAGCTCCGAGGGGTGCTGCGGCCGTGGGATTCCTGCCGAGGAGGGAGGGAGACAAAGGGGAAGGTGTCAGAACATGGACACGGGCCCTGAGCACACGCTTGGGATCCCAGCAACTCGTCTGCCCCCATGCACCCTTCCTCTGAGCACTCCAGCTCCCACCAAGCATCCCATCTCCTTCCAAGCATCCCATCTCCTTCCAAGCATCCCATCTCCTTCCAAGCATCCTATCTCCCTCCAAGCACCCCATCTCCCTCCAAGCATCCCATCTCCCTCCAAGCATCCCATCTCCTTCCAAGCATCCCATCTCCCTCCAAGCATCCCATCTCCTTCCAAGCATCCTATCTCCCTCCAAGCACCCCATCTCCCTCCAAGCACCCCATCTCCTTCCAAGCATCCCATCTTCTTCCAAGCACCCCATCTCCTTTCAAGCATCCTGTCCTCCTCCAAGCATCCCATACCCTTCCAAGCCTCTTATCTCCCTCCAAGCACCCCATCTCCTTCCAAGCATCCTGTCCTCCTCCAAGCACCCCATACCCTTCCAAGCACCCCACCTCCCTCCAAGCACCTCATCTCCTTCCAAGCACCCCACCTTCTTCCAAGCATCCCACCTCTGTCCCAGCACCCTGCTGCTCATCAGCAGCATGAGGAGGGGATGCTGAGACCTGGAAGGATCCCCACTCACCCCAACCAAACCTGAGCCAGGCGAGGACCCGTCCCCATCCACCGCCTGCATCCCCTTCCCACCACCCAGGGCCCAGCTGCGGAAGCCACGGGGAAGCAGTGGGACCATCCAGCAGAGAGCCCCCCGTTCCCAGCACGGCTCTGGTCCCTTTGCTCACCCGTCTTGGGGTCGATCTCGGGTGAGAGGTGCCCGGGAGGTGACCCCGGTGAGAAGTGGTCGTTGCTGTAGGTGATGAGCGGCGTCAGCGGGTGCATGTGATGGGCGTGCTGCACCACCGGCACCTTGTTCGACTGCGGGCAGAGCACACGGGAGGGAGAAAGCGACCTCACGTCAGCATCACGGGGGGCTGGGAACCCCTCATCCCGGTGGGATGCAGCGGCTCTTACCAAGTGTGCGGGCGAGGGCGAGCGGCTGTCCTTCAGCGTGGCACCAGCGGGCACGTCCAGCAGCGGCCACTTCATCTGCAGGTACTGCGGGACAGCGGGGGTCATGCCCTCCACCAGACCCCAAATACCCCCAGCTCCGCCTGCACGCTCGGCTGGGGCACCCTGACCCGTGGACGTGACCGTGGGCTGGTGGCAAAGGGGTTTTGGGGGCACACGGGGCTGTTTTCAGCCCTATTGCACCCCTATGGACCCCATGACTGGTGCCAAACCCCAGCCCCAAATCCCTGCTCTCTCACTGGGGAGCCACGAGCCCCACACCCCTCCCTGCCCACGCTGATGGCACCCTTTACCCTCCCCCAAATCAGCTCCGTGGGGCTCCGGCACCAACCTCCCATTGCCACAGGGCACAAACCCAGCCCCATGCTGCAGCGACGGCTGCGGGGTGGGGGGGGGAAGGCAAAGCTGGGGCTACTGTGGGGGGGTTCCTGCTCGCTGGGCTCAGCTCGGCCCTGGACACCCCAAAGAAAGGTGCTTTGTGCCGAGGGGCCGGGGGCGGTTCCCGGCAGATCCCGGCGTCCCTCGGGATGCCGGAGCTGGGGAATGTGGCCCGGACGGGCCGCAGCTGCGCGCAGGAATTTCCCCACGTACAAACCTTCGTGATCCGCAGCAGCTGGAAGGAAAACCCAGCGAGGAGCTGCGGGAGCGTTAACCCCTCCGTGCCTGGCCGGAGGCTTCCCTGCCAGCGCTGCCTCCTGCAGGGACCCCAAAGTGTCCTGTGTCCCCCCCTGCATCGCCTCCCGCTTCCCCACAGTCTCCAACGTCTCCCCATTGCCTCCAGCATCCGTCCTACACTCCCCATCCTTTCCTGCATCCCCATCCCCTCCTGCATTCCCCGTCCTTTCCTGCATTCACCTATCCCCTCTTGCTTCTCCCTATCCCCTCCTGCATCCCCATTCCCTCCTGCATCCAGCTGGCCACACCTACTGCATCCCCCCATGCTTCCCCCTATCCTCTCCTGCTTCCCCCCATCCTCTCCTGCATCCCCTCCTGCACCCCTCATCCCCTCCTGCATCTCCAGTACCCCCCTGACATCCATTCTGCATCTTCTCCTGCACCTCCAGTGCACCCCAGCTCTGTCTCCAGCATCCTTCCTACGTCACCAGTATCGCCCCTCTCCATTCCCAGTATTCCATCTCCAGCCCTTCTTCCAGCACCCCCTGTCCGTCGGCACTCGGTCCCACTCCACCAACAGCCCCACAACCGGGGGTAAGCCACAACCCCACCGGCAAGTCCCGGCAGCCTCAAAACCCAAGTGAAGCCCATCCAGAGCAGGCCAGGAGTCCAGCAGCCGCTGGGATGATCCTGCTGGAAGCCCCACTGGATACAGCACGATCCCAACGAGCCCGGGATGAGCATTCCCTGTGAACCCAAGTGCAGGCACAGGGAACCCCCCCCAAAACCTACTGCAACGCCATCAAACCGCTCACCCGTGCCCATCGCGCGCACAGGGATGCTCCAGCACCCCGGGCCCGATGCTCCACGCGCTCTGCCCAGGTTGATCCTTGGCACTGCCGGGATAACGGTGACAGGAAGGACCCCTCAGAGCCAGGGAGCCGCAACCAGACCCGGCCCTTGGCCGCTGCTCCCAGGGCCAGTTGTGGAGGAGGAGGCAGGGAGCCAGGGCTCGTCGGAGCACGCCTGGTACGTGAGCGGTGCCGGCCCCGGGCTGCAGCCTGCACCGGGGCAGCCCCTGGGTCTGACTGCCAACAACAGCTCAGCACCACCAGGCTGGCTCTGCAGAGCCAAGAACCACTGGAGCTGCTGCGGCGTGTGGATGCGGAGAGGGTTTAGCATTGAGATGCTCCTGGAGATGCTCCCAGTGGGAGCGTGGCTGAGGCAGTGCCATGAGCATCCCTGAGGCCGTGCCAGAGGTGGCCCAACAAAGAAACACATTGGTTTGGGTCTCCCTAAGAGCTCATCTCAGTTTCCCCTCGGGCAGGTTAAAGCCATTCCCCTTGGCCTTGTCCCAAGCCCCTCTCCAGGTTTCCTGCAGCCCCTTCAGGCACTGGAGCTGCTCTCAGGTCTCCCCTTCAGGAGCCTTCTCTTCTCCAGGCTGCCCCAGCCCAGCTCTCTCAGCCTGGCTCCAGAGCAGAGCTGCTCCAGCCCTCGCAGCAGCTCCATGGCCTCCTCTGCACTCACTCCAACATCCCTGTGCCCACGCCAGGGCAATGCAAGAGATGCCCCAATGTCCCCACGGCTGCACTGGGGTCACACACAAGATATCCCAACACCTCCATAACGGTCCAAAGGGCAACGCACAAGATGGGCATCCCCACGGCTGGTGACACACGAGAACACTTCCCCATCCCTGGCAGTGCTCAAGGCCAGGTTGGACACGGGGGCTTGGAGCAAGCTGCTCCAGTGGAAGGGGTCCCTGCCCGTGGCAGGGGCTGGAGGAGCTTTAAGGTCTCACCACCCCGTGGGGCCAGGGCAAGGCGGGAGATGCCCCCCGTGTCCCCAGCGGGCGCCCGTGGCTCCTCCTCGCCATCCCCTGCCCGCTGCCCCCCTCACAAAGGGGCTTTCTCGTCTATTCTGTAAGCGGAGAAGCCGCTGGGGGACGGCGGCGGGGGGGAAGCCGGGGGTATAAAAGGCTTCTTCTCATGGTGAGGCCGTTTCAGGAGGCCGGGGAGGGGAGAGGAAGGGGGGGACCCTTTCAAAATATACAAAGGGGGGGGGGGGAGCTGGCGAACGGTTCAGTGCTAATGTGGAAAACTGAAGCCCCTTCCCCTCGGGAAGCGCGGACACAGCTCCCACTGTCCCTGCACGTGCGGGGCCGGCGCGAGCGGCACATTGGAGCTATTAGGGGGGAACAAAAACAGAAGGGAGAAAATAGCTGAAAATCGGTCACATTCCAGAGAGATTAGAGCAAGTTCTGGGTCCTCGTTACCAGCCACCCCCCAATTAAAAGCAGGGAGTTAACCCCTTCCCTGCCAGCCGGCGCTAGGACCACAATGAAGGCTCCTGTCTGTCCGTCCATCCATCATCCATCCATCCATCCATCATCCATCCATCCATCCATCCATCCATCCATCCATCCATCCATCATCCATCCATCCATCCATCCATCCCCTCCCCGGGTGGGATGACCCCAAACCACGGCCCCAGCACAGAGGAAGGGGTGGTGCTGGTGGTGGTGCTGGTGGCTTCTGACCTCCATGCTCAGGGAGGAGGCAGCAGCTCCATGGGATCCCCAGTGCCCAATTAGGGGCTGGAATGAGCGGATTTCCTCTCCTCTTCCATGCGCGGGGCTCAATCCCGGCTCAGATGTTCATCCTGGGAAGGCAGGAAAAGGTCCTGGCTGGTGGCAGGGTTGGTGCTGTGTGTCCCAGCATCGCATGGCTGCCATTCCATGCTGTATGTCCTGGTGCTGTTTGTCCTGGTGCTGCGTGTCCCTCCATTGTGTGTCTTGGTGTTGCATGTCCCAGCAACACATGTCCCAGTATCATATCCCAGCACTGCATGTCACGGTGTTCCATGTCCCAGTATCATATCCCAGCACTGCATGTCATGGTGTTCCATGTCCCAGGATCACATGTCCCAGCACTGCATGTCACGGTGTTCCATGTCCCAGTATCATATCCCAGCACTGCATGTCACGGTGCTCCATGTCCCAGTATCATATCCCAGCACTGCATGTCACGGTGTTCCATGTCCCAGTATCATATCCCAGCACTGCATGTCACGGTGTTCCATGTCCCAGTATCATATCCCAGCACTGCATGTCACGGTGCTCCATGTCCCAGTATCATATCCCAGCACTGCATGTCACGGTGTTCCATGTCCCAGTATCATATCCCAGCACTGCATGTCACGGTGCTCCATGTCCCAGGATCGCATATCCCAGCACTGCATGTCACGGTGTTCCAAGTCCCAGGATCGCATATCCCAGCACTGCATGTCACAGTGTTCCATGTCCCAGGATCACATATCCCAGCATTGCATGTCACGGTGTTCCATGTCCCAGTATCATATCCCAGCACTGCATGTCACGGTGTTCCATGTCCCAGGATCACATATCCCAGCACTGCATGTCACGGTGTTCCATGTCCCAGTATCATATCCCAGCACTGCATGTCACGGTGTTCCATGTCCCAGTATCATATCCCAGCACTGCATGTCACGGTGTTCCATGTCCCAGTATCATATCCCAGCACTGCATGTCACGGTGTTCCATGTCCCAGTATCATATCCCAGCACTGCATGTCACGGTGCTCCATGTCCCAGTATCATATCCCAGCACTGCATGTCACGGTGTTCCATGTCCCAGTATCATATCCCAGCACTGCATGTCACGGTGCTCCATGTCCCAGGATCGCATATCCCAGCACTGCATGTCACGGTGTTCCAAGTCCCAGGATCGCATATCCCAGCACTGCATGTCACAGTGTTCCATGTCCCAGGATCACATATCCCAGCATTGCATGTCACGGTGTTCCATGTCCCAGTATCATATCCCAGCACTGCATGTCACGGTGTTCCATGTCCCAGGATCACATATCCCAGCACTGCATGTCACGGTGTTCCATGTCCCAGGATCACATATCCCAGCACTGCATGTCACGGTGTTCCATGTCCCAGGATCACATATCCCAGCACTGCATGTCACGGTGTTCCATGTCCCAGGATCACATATCCCAGCATTGCATGTCACGGTGTTCCATGTCCCAGGATCGCATATCCCAGCACTGCATGTCCCAGCAGCTCACAGCCCAGGATTGTGTATCCTGGTGGTGCTGGTCCTGGTGTTACACCTCGAGGCTCTGCCCATCCTCCTGGCATTGTGCATCCCAACACTGCACATCCCGATGTTGAACATCCCAGCATTGCACATCCCAACACTGCACATCCTGATGTTGAACATCCCAGCATTGCGCATCCCAATGTTGAACATCCCAGCATTGTGCATCCCAACACTGCACATCCCAATGTTGAACATCCCAGCATTGCACATCCCAACACTGCACATCCCAATGTTGAACATCCCAGCATTGCACATCCCAACACTGCCCATCCCAGTGTTGAAC